TATATGTATGTATGTATGTATGTATGTATGTATGTATGTGTGTGTGTGTGTGTGTGTAAATAATATGTAAATATTTAAATGTGCACCCAGTATATACAATTTAAATTTTTATAAATTTGATATTTTTTTAAAGTTATAAAATAAAATTATAAAATACAATTCTCTATTTGTAAAATACAATCCTACCTGTTCTAACTGGTGTTTTCCAGACTGTCACAAATCATAATATTGGCACATAATTAGTGACATTTAAAGCAGCAGAATGTTCAATGTTCAGTGCATAACAGAAAACCAAAAGTTAAAGTTTGCATTTGCAATGCCTAAAACACTTGTACATGGTCGCCATGTGCAAGATAACAAGTAAGACAATGCTCTCACACTGGCCTCGGGCCATTGATTTATCCTTATCCTTGTGAATTTTGTTAGAGAGTATGATTATACTGTTATATGTGTGTTGTGCGACTTTGAGTCTTAGAGCAGCTTGCAATCACTCATGTCTGTTGAGGGTGGAATACATTGATGAGCAATAAATGATACATTTAGTAAAGTGACTGGTGTCCACCATGACGTGCCCCCTGGGGAAGAGCCCGATCAATGGAGCGTGTCCCACACGTACCCTAAGACAAAGAGAGGTCACTGAGATTCTCTGCAGTGAACAAAAAGCCATCAATTCCTAAAGCAGCATCCAGTCACATTGTTGTAGCAAGATTTTAGTGACTCCATACCGTTTTTTGTTGTTGCTTTTTTTAAAAAGGAGATTTAGAATTTCAAAGATTTCGTTGTTTTAAAATGTCATTTAAAATGTTTTAACATGTCACTGTTTTAAGCACGTGATTGGGTAACATTCTTTGAGTCTGTGTTGGCCTAGTTAGCTGGGGGACTGAAAGTGCTAACATGCTGTTTTTAGAGGAAACGAGTCAGTCAGATTTTTTCTTTGTCATGCATTTGCAATGTTAACGATCTTTTTAATGAATTCACACTCAGTAGTTTTTGATCATTGTTGTCAGTTTGCTGTTTTTGTTTTGTTTTTTTCTTTTGTTTTTTTGGTTGAAACCTTTACCAAAAAAGATACTGTAGGAGAACCATGTTACAATGATGCTATCAAATGGTAATAAAATTATACTTTTGACATTTTTTGCAACACAAATAAATAAATATATTTATGTATTATATGAAAAAAAAATTTTTTATTACATGTTGCTTATTTACAAATAAAAGTTACACTTTATAATAATTCTTTAAAGCAGCAAGATAGATAGATAGATAGATAGATTCTGATATAGACACTTGAGAAAAGTGCTCCGCATAGCCATGTGAGTGTCCCGTGATCCTTTCCGATACGCTCTTCCCATTGGCGATGGGAATGCTGTGCATTGCTGAAGTGTTAGCAAATCTCTTGGCAAAGAGACAGAAAATAAGAGCCATTGTCATTCCTTGCATATCGCTGTTGGGCCAGACAGTTGGGCTTGATTTAGCAGTAATGAAAAACATCCATTAGACCGTTGAAAGTGGGTCACAATTGCACTCGAGCATGTTTAAGAACACCTCAGTTTTCCAGTGATAGCCTGATATGTTGCCCTCCTTAAATTTGAGGTTAAATGAGGACAAAACAGAATGAATATTTGTCCTAGGTCGGAAAAAACCTTACTAATATGTATCTTTAACTAGCTAAGTTATCGTATGACCAACCACCCAGCTAACAATTTTTGGTTCCCAGAACGTTCCCGGAACGTTAGTTTTTGGTTCCCATAACGTTCCCAGAACAATATTTTTTATGGTTTGTTTTTGGTTAGCCAGGAAAGTTTTCTTAACGTTCCCAGAACGTTAGTTTTTGCTTCCCTGAACATTAGTTTTTGGTTCCCGTTTGGTTATTTTTTTGGGAACCAAATACTAATGTTAGGGGAACGTTCTTTTTAGGTTATATTTTTTGTAACCGTAGAATAACGTTCCCAGAACGTTGCATGGTGGTTATTTTTAAATAACCTAAAAATAACTTATAGACAAAATTTTTTAATGGTTATTTTTAGATTATTTTTTTGTAACCATAAAATAACGTTCCCAGAACGTTGCAGGGTAATATGAGTAATATGTTTGTGAATCACTAGTAATATTTTTTTGTGCAGCCTTATAGGACAACTTAATAGAAATTTATGTTATCTTGTCATTTTTTGTGGCACACTTTTTCTCTCATCACGTTCAATTCTCACAGCAAGCTCACAGATCGGGTAAAATATCTATTCTGCCTTTGTACTTGAGATTCAGAAAACCAGTGGAGAAAAAACTGAACAGATTTTTTTTAAAATAACTGTGTAAAATAACTGTTAATTTCATCTAATTTCCTACTGGGACTGTTTTAAGGGACACATCTAATCATGTCCTGTAAGAAGCCCTTTCTGTGAGGTTTTGTGTTTATGGCCTTAAGAAACTCTTGATTTTACGATCCTCCCACTTCCTGTACCCTTTAGTATGTTACCATAGACGGACGTCCCTCTGTTACTTAAACATCACCATTGCTAACGTGCTTTTACTTAACTGATTTTTCTTTGTTTGTTCCCTTATTCCCTTGTTCTCAAAGTACACTTTAGCATACTTTTAAAAAGAGTGCAAGTACAGAAGTACAGAAATAATGTACCTCTGTTCAGCGTGCAGTATCACGTGTCTAAACAAATAGCATGTGCTTTCAGTGATTTCAACCACTAGAGGCCGCTCTCGTACTGTATAATGACAGCAGACCCTTCTCAGCTATTCCAGCAACGGACGCAACCCGGAAAACTATCGGCATGGATTTTTGCCGATAACCGATAGTTCCAGCAAAAAACTATCGGTGCCGATTAATCGGCAAAACCGATACATCGGTCAACCTCTAATACGTACAGCCAAATACACAAGTATACTTCATTTAAAAGCTTGTGCGAACACAGGTGCTTGACACATGCATGTGGTTGTTGTTGTTTCTTGTTGCAGTAATTAGCTTGTTACTGGTAAATCGACAGGCATGGGTTGTAAACTGCATTTTCAAAATACCGTGGCAACATCTATACAAAATGATACAATGTTGTTGTTGTTGTTGTACATATCATGGCAGTTCGGAATTGAAATGTCCGGTAAGTGGCACTAAAAGGTTAATGCTTTATCATGTTTGAAAACAATGTATCACTTACACTAAACCCTACCATAGACTTAACCGATAGTGTTAACAAAAGAAAACATAACATAACACGCTTGCTGAATCAACCATGCAGCTTGCTTCTACAATTTGTTGAACTTTTATTATGACATCTCGTTTCACTGGATTCGTACCCATTCACTCTTCTTTGCAAGTGCGGTGGTGTACCAGGTGCGCTACCAAGCAAGTTTACTACATTAGAAAAGCCATACATATAGAGCTGGTTATGTGATGGAAATGTGAAAATGTATTAGTTTACAAATGCACAATGGTAAAAGTGTTTGGAGATCTTAACATAATAATGTGCAAGGAACTGTGTAAAAATACATTTTTATTAATCTATAGTCTGCCCCTGCATTTTTGTGTAAAAATGAATAAAGTTGTTGGTGTTTTACAGTAACTAGTGTTAATTTCAGCTGGAAATTCATTGTAATTTTTTTCCCCAATGAGAATATGTTGGTTTATTTCGTAGTATTGCTATTTGTTATATGCTACTCCTCAACACTGTATCTTGTGCATAGATGTCAAACCACAAAAACATAACAACGTTTTT